AAAGAAGAGTATTGAGTGAGTTCAAACAGGTATTCTCATATTTAGTGTTAACTGAAAATTATTCAAATTATCATCTTCGATACTAGTTCAACTCATATTCATATAAAAGTCAACTCATATTGTGCACTATGTAAACCAGTATTCAACACTATTACTAACAATAAACAAAGTACATAAAGATCCTTTTTCGTTTTGTCCGTTAGTAATATTCGTTTGTGTCTGGAATATTTGTTCGTCTATCTGTCGAATACTTGTTTATATGTTTTGAATAATAGTTCATATGCTTTTCAATAATAGTTTGCGTAACAATGTTTCATGTTTAAGCCAAACATAATTCATCATTCTATTCGAACTAATATTCATCATTATGTAACAATACTAGTTTCTTATTCAAACTAGTATTTTGTATGTTTTAACTAATATTCATCAGTTATAGAAACTAGTATTCATCGTTCAGAAACCAGTACTTGTGTAAACTCAATGCAAAACCATTTTCAACTCATATTCACTACAAATGAGTCATTTTGTATAGGTTGAACTCGTATTCATTAAGATGTCAACACAAGAATACCTATTTCTATATATATAAACAAAGAATACCTACTATTTCAATTTGTACAAGTACTACTCATAATTATACAAATATTGAATGTGCTTAGTAATCCTAACCCCCCGTCATTTCGACCCCAATGGCAGATTGTTGAGAGAGAAAAAAAGATGAGGAAAAAGGTTGTGAGAGAAGAGATTTGAAAGAAAGAAGTTCTGGTGTTCTTCTTCTCTTCAATGGCTGATTGTGGAGAGAGAAAAAATGATGAGGAAGAAGGTTGTGAGAGAAGGAGTTACAGAGGAAAAAAAAAAGAGAAAAGAGATTTGAAAAAAAGAAGGTTGACAGGTTGAAGAAAGAGAAAAGGATAGGGTAATTATTTTTAGTTTTATTTTCAATTTTTAATCTCTCATCTTGTGGACCCCACCCATCATTAAGCTCAGTCGGCTTCGTTTTGAGCCGCTCCCTCCCCTTTTTTTCCCCTTCCTCTAGTCGTTGCGTCCTGGCCACTCATTTTTAAGTGGGTGGTCTTTTTGCTGAGGTAGACTAATGGGGGCTTTGTGTGCACATACACACAAAAAAGGCTATGTGCACCATAGCGAAATTGTCCTTTTTCGGCATAATGTTCCGACTAAAACAAATCACAAAATTTTCCAGATTCACTCGTTTCCACGGGTAATCTCAAATTTCTGCAGACCTCATTAGTGAATTACACTCCTACAAGGATCCACGCGAAAATAAACACCAGTCATATGTGAAAGCAAATGAGAAACCCGAGGCACCCTAGGGCTGACTCGAACTCACTTGAGTCACCCATCCTCTATAGTCTGTGGTAGTAAGGCTGCAAAACACTTGATAGACAACACAAAGAGTAAAAGAGGTAGAGGGTCACACTACCATAGTCCCTTTCGTTGACCTGAAGAATCCTATTGACTTGCCCCTCATGAGGATCGAAAATGAAGAGGTACATATACACTCCTCAACCAAATTAATCAATTATTATAGATTGAAAGCCCAAACGATTCATAGCGTAAGTAAGAATGTCACTCGACTCTATTATTGGCCCTTTTCATATTAACTTTCAGAGCCATGTACCATGTCTTACATTTCATCTTGACCTTTAAGGTAATGCATGATCATTGGCGAAGCCCGCCCTTAGATGGGTGGGTCCCGGATCCACCTTGGATCCCCAAAAAATATTAAATATACATACATATATATTTCTACAGCCAAGTATCGAACCCTACTTCCCTTTGTTATAGAACAATGTTACCTCCGCTAAGCCATGCACAGTTCTTTGCTATTATTGTAACTTTAAATATATTTAATTACTAAACGTGAGTTACAGAATGAAGGATACACAATAAATTATTTATTTTTGAGTTTCCAATCCCTAATTGAAATCATCGAAAAACATATCTATCACATGTCGAATTTTCCTCTTTAACCAAAGGCCGCCGGAAACTCTCACTCACCACCCTTTCGTCCAAGTCTTTGCTGTCGAATTTGTCATGCCAATTTAGGAAAATGGTTTAAAAAAACGATTGTTTCCATTATTTATCGACTTCTAAAATTGACATCATTGATACCTGTTGTCACTGCAAGTGTTGAAAGGGCATTTTCTGCACTGAACTTGGTGAAGAACACACTTTGGAATTGGATGGGTGACGAAATCATGAATGATTCTTTGGTTGGTTACATTGAGAGAGACATGCTTAATAAGTTTATAGTTTGGATAATTAATGTAATTTACATATTTTTCATAATATGAAAACACGTCGTGTGTAATTATGAATTATTTATTTTTTCACGTTGGACCCACCTTAGCAAAATTTCTGGTTACGCCACTGTGCATGATCTCATGCCCAATATCTAGAATATGGAGTTCTCGAATAAAAGCATTCTGGCCAGGAGAAACAATTTGTGACAAGAACGCTGCCATCCTCTCAGCCATAATTTCTGACACGATCTTATATAAAAACTCACATAAATCGGTTGAACACAACTAGCGTATAGTTTCAACAAACGATTCAAGAGCGCAAGCAAGAAATGAAACTCTACTCTATCATAGGTCTTTTTCATATAAACCTTCAGAGCAGTGTACCATTTCTTACCTTTCGTGTTGATTTTAAATTAATGCATGACTTCATGCACAATATCTACAATCTGGAGTTAAAAGCATTATGCTTAGGAGAAACAATATGAGACAAGAACACTGCCATCCTCTAAACCATGATCTTTGACACAATCTTATATACAAACTCAAATAAAATTGATTAGACACATCTAGCTTATATTGCAACATTATTCAACTTTGAAATAAGCCTAACCAGCATATGATTGAAGTTTCCCAAAATACACCCATCAATAAAAAACGAGCGTACAACCGCAACCACTAACTCACCAATAATATCCCAAACATACTTGAAGAACTTGCTTGAAAATCATTCTATCTCGGTTCCTATGTCGATCACATTGTAAAGACTGCACATCGTCCCTTTTTGGGTGACATCCGTCAACTCTGAGTTCATCCAATCCATAACCCGTTGTTGCAGGGACACAACCGCTACCTTATCTTCGATTTCCCCTACCTAGGTCGCCGATGTAAAGAATTGCGAGAAAAAATCAATTGTATCTGCGCCTTCGTTGGTTAATCCATGACCCATATCCCTTAATTGGTATGAAGTTTCTCCACAAATTTGCGCTTACGCTAAGTCCAAGTCACCGTTGAAAATACGACATATTTCGATCACTTTCACAGAGCCAGAAAACTCTTCAATTTTGCAGCAAAAACAACTCTTTTGCAACCCATTGCAAAGTAAGTCACCATCCAACACATTCACTCGATCCTAGTGAATTGGATTCTCCTATTTCAAACCAGAGATTTTTCACTTGTAGAGTCCAAATATGTTGCCCATGATTTGTAGTTCCCGCTCGTCTCCATTGAAAAAGTAAGTGTCGGAGTTTGTTAAGTTGTACCCATAATTTGTATATCATCGACCTATGTATTAACTTTGCCTAAATATTTTGGACCATCGATCGTGCTTCCGAATCATCAAACCGAAATAGTGGGCGAGCAGTACGCATGAACGAATTTTCAACTACAATAAGTGCCCAATGATCCGACCCAGGATCGGTACAATATTGAACAAACATTTTAAGGAAACTTTCCATCCATTTTCTCCGAAGCAAAGACACGATCAAGTTTCTCTTGGATACACGCGTTCTCCATTCTCAATTCGACACCCATCCTTCTATTTGTCCAAGTAAATGAATTCCCTATCCTAAGTTCATCGATAAAAGCTTGGAATTCTTGAGACTAGACCAATTACCAAGGATTCCTAGCCATTTTCCCATTGGAAGGTAAAATGTAATTGAAATCCCCACAATTATATCGGGCACTTGAAAACTTGAATAGTAGATTTTTAGAATCTCTATTTGTTTACACAAATTAATTAGAGACTAAAATGATTCTACAAAAGTCATTCCCAGCAAACACGGTTTAGCTAAATCGCTGCAAATACCAGTAAATACATGGTTTGTCTAATCTAGTATTTTTTTTTTGTTTAAACACTAATCTAGTAATTTATTAAGAGTTAATACCATTTTGTACCCCTCTACTATCGTAAATTAACAAACGTACCCCTTTACAAAAAATTTGCACAAACATACCCTTTACTATTAAAACATAACGAAGATACCCTTCCGTCTAATTATCCGTTAAGTGACCGTTAAAGAGAATGATGAATGACCAAATTGCCCCTTCTTTACTCTAATTTCAGTTTTAATTATTTTATTTATTTAATACCCAAACAATTAATCAAAGCCAGGTACAGAGAGTTAGCTCCAACCAAAACAATGGCGACTCCTTCCATAATTGGAGTCTTCATCTTCCCAACCAAAAACAATTGTTTACCTCCCCTGCAAGCGCCACCCAACATCTTCCCCACCCGTCTGAATCTTCCCCCATCCCCTTTACCGCCTCTCTTCCTACTCCTGCTGCGAAATCTCCCCCAATCGCACCTCACATTCTAGTAGGGGTGGGCATTGGTGCGGTTCAAACCACACCGCACCATATTAATATAAACCGAACCGCACCGCACCACATGTCATTTTAACCGCACCGAATATTAGACTGCAATATAATTGGTGCGGTCAAACCAAACCACTTAGATATGCGGTTTGGATCGCACCACATATTTGACAGCAAATAATTGATTGACACGTTTGAATTCACTTTTTATACCCATGATCCATAATTATAAGAAAAACCAATATTAAAGATCCTAAATATGAATATTTAAGATCCTATCTAGTAATAACTAATCTTACTTATATACAAATCAAGTTAGCTATTTTTCTATCGATTTTAACCACACGAAATTATTAATACCAACCAATTCGATAGGAAGTATGTAATTGGGCTCTCAATTTTCTCCTATTCTTTGTCGCCGTCATGACAAGATCTACAACAATCATCCGACAGCAGCTTCCGGTACATCGTTGGAGAAGAAAAAGAAGATCTGGACACGCCCCTGGCTGGGTTTGGAGAGGCAGAGGAGAGGAGGAGCAGGGGATGCTGGTCGTAGATGAACAATTCGACGAGTGCGACGACGGCGAAGAATTTGTGTCGGAGATGTTGGAGAACTCGGCCGCGTTCCATTCTTGGCATCTAGATTTCAATTTTGCCGAGTGGAATTGATGAAACTGGGTACCTACCTGTATTCTTTCTTTGATCTTGCTCAGCTTTGAAATCAGCCTCCTCCTTCTTCCAATGGCAGAGTGAAGCAGCACGGAGGTCACCAAGCCATTGTCGGAACCAGAGAAGAGGAAAGAGTAGAGCCTCCTGTTCCACGAGTTGTTCTACTTTGCCGAGAAGTACGATTGACTGCTAATGGACTACCGCAGTACCGGACCCATTGTACAACTAAAAATTATATGTTGTTTGCGGTTTTGGACCGCGATCGCGCGATTTCGGATTAACTCGAACACTAACTGCGAGCCGCTAAAAATTCAGATCGCATATAAGACCGCAAGTATACGGTGCGGTTTGGCTCTACCGCAAATGCGATTCGGTGCGGTTCGGAGCGGTTTGACCACACCAAAGCCCACCTCTACATTCTAGCAACAACAATTCTGAACAGCGTCGCCGGAATTGAAGACCGGAGCTGTGACCTGTAGGTTCTCGACGACGATTAGAGGCGGGCGGAGGGTGCGGCGGGATGGTTTCGATGTCGAGATCGTTATGCAGCTTCAGGGGAGGTGGCGGAGTTGGTTTTTTCGCCGGGTCGGAGGACAAGACGTATTCAGGAGCGAGAAGCTCTGTTTCCAGAGAAAGAAGCTCCATCTCTGCGGCTCTGAGCTTCGGGTTCAACTGGCTGGTATTCGGCCCTCGTCAGAATCGAAGCTACCGGCGGAGGCGGCAGAGTACGGGAGCGTGAGATCGGAGCACGGGATGGCAGGAGGAGATGGAAACAGCCTGTCGAACGACTTCTTGCAACCCCCGACAATGATAAGCAGGGAGCAGGCGCCACCGAGTCGATCGACTAACCACCAGGGGAGACAGGGCAGATGGACGGTCTCTTGGGACTGCCGGTGATTTGTTTAGGGTTTGTTCTTTTAACTAAACATAAATAAATATGAAATTAAATAATTAAAATTGAAATTAGGAGTAATGGACGGGCAATTGGGTCATTTTTCAGTCCCTTTAACGGTCATTTAATGGATAATTAGACGGTAGGGTAAACTCGTTACGTTTTAATATTAGAAGGGTATGTTTGTGCGAAAATTTAGTAAAAGGGTACGTTGATAGTAAAGAAGTACAAAATGCTATTAACCCATTTATTAACGACGGGGTTTAAGTTGGCCTTTTTCTTTTTAATTTATTTACTATTCAAGTAATTACTAATTAGTAATTGCTAATTACCTTGTAATCTGCAAATACATGTAATAATCTGAAAAAATAGAGCAAAACAAACTGTAAATTCTCAGGGTATAACAAACAGGTGCTATTAACAGTTCAGATTGTTTGACCTTTTAAGTCCCCATTCCCTTCTCTCCCAATCCCATACCAATCTCACACTTCAACTACCACCACTCTCCCCAGTCAGATATTTCGTCAAACACCTTCCGCGCCACCACCCGCCGACGGCAACCGATCACCAACACCGGAACACAACAGCTCCGTGAACTTCCCGGTGGCAAACTCCGGCAAGCAGATGCAAATCACCGTCCTCCCACTGGGCTCCGCCTCACCCTCCGGCAACAAAACACATACCTGGGGCGTCGGCGTCAGGTCGATCGGCCCGGCGTACACCGGCCTCCCCCACCCGAAATCCGCCGTCTCATAGATCGGAAACCTCGTCCACTGCGTAATCGTCAGCTTCCCGCCGAACTCCAGCCTCCTCGGCCGATCCACCTCCACGTAATCGATCGTCGACCTCAGATACTCCTCGGACACGTCGATCCTCGCCTCCCTGACCAGCCTCGCCGTGTCGGAGAGCCGCCCGTTGACCAGCTCGTCGACCGAGCTCGTCGCGCAGGCGAGGCAGACGACGTTGCCGTAGAACCCGTCCCTCAGGGGCGCCTCCTTCAGCTTCTGCCGCGCGTTGACCGAGAAGGTCAGCCTCAGCCTGTAATCCAGCGGCTTCACGTCCAGCGCTCTCACCCACGACCTCCAGATGTGTGCCGCCATGGCGTCGAACGTTGTGCAGGTAAACCTGTCACGTGGCCAATGCAATCAAAATCGCGATTTTATGCAGATAATGTTTTGCTGAGCTAGAAATGTAAGTCAAATTTTGACTACATTACCTGTCGCTGAACTGAGCCACCGCCTTGAGTCGAGCCTGGAACTCGCGGCTGACGCGATAGCACCTCTGCACGGGCTTCTCCTGCCACAGGCTCATCGTCAGGCTCGACTCGTCGTCGATCTTCATGAACTCGACGTGAGGGAACTTCACCGCCGGCGGGTCTCTCGGCCGGAAAACCTCCCTGTCCCAGACCGGGTCCGGTTTCGCGATCAGAGTCCCCGATTTCGCCGTGGCAGCCCACGAACCTAGAAACTGCATCGCCCCGAGACCGTCGCAGATGCAATGGCAGAGCCTCAGCCCGAGGCTGAACCCACCGCAACTGAAGACGGTGACCTGCGCGATGAGCAGCGGCATGTCGAGGACCTTGTAAGGCTCCTCGTCGGGGAAAACGTAGATCAAGGGAGCCCAGGCCGGGTTGGGGACGGTGAGGTCTCCGAGCTCGGCCAGCGCCATTTCGGAGTATGCTTCCACCATCAGAGCTCCCTGTTCCGGTCCGAAGAACACTTCCAGCTTCCCGTTCATGGCTTCCCTCAGCCGGCCGGAGAGAGGGTAGTAAGGGACCAGGACCGCAGCCAGAGCTTCTCGGAGGGTTCGGACGACAGGTTTTTCGTCATCAGGATTGAAGAAGTCCGATCTGTAGAAGTAGACCGTCGGGGTGAAGACGCGAGCTCCGATGATGTCGTCCAGGTTGGAGAGGTAAAGGCTGTGGCCGAATTCGGCCGGGATTGGACCGGCCGGCGAGACGTGGACTGGTCGGGAAGTGGTGATGGGGATGTTGAGAGGCGGGAAATGGAGCTCCTGGACTGATGAAGAAGAAGAAGGAGAAGAAGAAGAAGCCATGGTGGTGGGATGATGAGGAAAGGGCGAGAGGTGGGAAATTGGGATTTTGTAGAAGGATTTTTCTATGGTGGTGACATGCAAAGATGCTTGCTTTGGGTCAAAAAGACTAGTTGGAGGGAAGGACAAAGGCAAATGGGAATCGTGTTTTTTGTGATACCTTTGGGGCTGTTATTCTATCATGCCAAGAGTTCCTCTCTTTCTTCTCCCCAGAAATCTTTCCCCAGTTCATGAGCTGAGCTCCATTGTTTCTCTTTCTTTTTAAGGGTGTGTTTGTTTGGCTAACAAGTAAAAACAGACACAAAATCCACTCATCACTTAGCGCATGTCATGTCTTAGCAAAACTCTCTAGAAAAAGAGTTAGAACCAAACACACCATCAGGAGGCAAGTAGCAACTCCAAGAGAAGCAGAGACTCGCAAGCAAAGTTTGTAAAATTTTACCGCAGACTATACCTACTAAATATCACCTACCAGTTTAACCTCCAGTACTAGTATTTTATGGTTGAACCGCCTGTAAGATACGATTCGGTTTCACAAACCATACTCACAAGTCACAACAAGGACATGAAAACGGTCTTTAGTAAATGTGAACATAATCATCCAAGAAATGAACCATGAAGCGGTGACAGTATATAACAAGCAACCAAGCACATGAAAACCAGGGCAAGTCGTCTATTGAAGTAGTAACAAGCAATCATGCACGAGAAAACCAGATTAAGTCGTCTAATGAAGTAGTAACTTTTTTTTATCCATATTAAAATGTCAATTTAATTTTTTCGCCATAAAATCCTGAGGTCTTATTTGCACTGTCAAAATTAAAACAGAAGTTCTGAGTTCTCATGAATGAAAGGGGAGAAAAGAAGAAAAAAGGAAGGACACTTTTGAAAACTTTGCCTTGCCGGCTTACCGCACCGGCTGCTGATTGTAGTGAGCCTTCTCCTTCTTCTTCGCCGCGGCAGCAAGCTTGGCTCGTCTGGCGGCAGCCTCACTAGCAGCAGCCTTGGCGGCGGCATCTACTTCTTTGCTCGACTTCTTCTTCTTGGCTGCCACTTTCTTCAACCGCTCCTTCACATCGACGCCACTGGATGCATCATCAGACTTCTCGGCTTCAGCAGTGCTATTGGCAGTCTGATCTGCAACAACACCAGCACTCCGAGACTGGTCCTCAGAATCCTTGTTGGCTTCTTTCGAGGTCTTTTCCTTCTTCTTCTTCTTTTTGGCACTCTTGCTCTCTCCCGGGGCATTTTCCTTCTTCGCTTGTCCATTGTTGTCAGCTTTCTTCTCTCCTGAAACATGTGCGAAAGAAGAGATTCATTTCATCAGCAGGAGCCAAGTGTTGTGAAGGTCAGATGTTATATTGCGGTACCACAATGCCAAAGATCAATATATGACAAGGAGCTATGGACCATTCGAGAACGTTCAAGTCATTGAGGAGAAAGAGTAAATCTAACAGAGAAGTTACCATCAGAGGCATCCTGACCACCCGACTCCTGTTTAGCATATCCTAACTCTGCAAGTACAGCATCAAGTTCTTCAAGCCCTTTTTTCTTCAACTCCTTTTTCGAGAGTTGCCTTTCTGTATCCTTTGGAGGCAAAGAAGCCTCAGGTTGCTTCTTCACAGGTTCCATTTCTGTGGGCACTTCAGGCTCATGTTCATGTTCTTCCTCCACATCCTCCACATCATCATCAACTTCATCAAGACCTTCTTCTTCACTTTCAGTTTCCTTCAAACATAACAGAATGCAAAGACAAATTAGACACGGCAATTCATGTACAGCCTGTAGTGAGGTTTCAAATTAATAGGTAAAATAATCAGTAGTAATGAATACATGAGATAGTCTAAGTGCAGGCCACACATCATACCAGAGCGAGTTGCAAAATGCCAACTTTAAAGATCATTTTCGTGAACAGTCAATGTCAATGCCAATACTCTAGTCATTTGCAATAAATTGGACCATCATAAAGAGTGGGAATTTACTCGAGACGCCTATTTACTGCTACTAAGAATTGTATTGAATCTCCTGGCTTCTAGCATGGATCATGATTACCACCTCAACATATTAGCAGGTATACTTGTTCCAAGAAATCAAACTACAGATTTACAGTCATCCGCAGCAACTCCAGGCTAAGATATTAAAACGTGTAAATAAATCTGTAGATACAGAACTCACGGTTAATTTCCAAGCAAAAAGATCACGTTAAGGAATATAATGAACCAACTCCACAGTCCTACAACAAGGTGGCACATTTTTCTTCCAAAATAATGAGAGAAAGCAGCAATAGCCATGAAATGGATGCCGATGATGTTGAAAAGAAGGAGGAGGAGGATCACAAGACACTTTCATGATGCTTGGTGACCGAATCTAAAGCAATATTGAGAGGGTATCCAGACTCAGCAACAATGGAACACCTACCATACACTAAGGCATGAATGCCCATCACATGACATATCATTTCACTTAAATACTACAATATGCCTTCTAACTATGCATGGCCTTTTCATACAGAAAGTATGAAAGGTCTTGAGGGATGCCATCAATAGTTTTCTCATTGCACAAAAATGAAACAGCTTGGTTCAGACAGTAAAATTGTTTCCTTATTCCTCCCTATCCAAATACCAACACGTATCCAAATGCCATCAATAGTTTTCACCATATCAATTATGTGTCATGAAACCCTTGTGCCAACAAAGGTAAAATATGATGCCAAATCTGACCTTTTTTAAACCAACAAGGCAATAGAAAGAGTATATCATTGAACGTATTCAATAACGGATCATTTGACACGTGTAAACTCCCGACTGTCAAAATAACTGAAGGGATACCCAAAACCATGGCCAACATTCCAACAATCTGAAAATGCCACCTCAAGCCGAGAATCCGTAACAAAAAGCACGTCTGCTAAGTTCTACTCCCGACCTCAAAGATCAGAACAAAATCATTTCTCGACATTACCTAGATATATCTCCACACATCTAGTTGCATCAGTGCATCACTATCTGAGAACAAATATGTCTTAGACAGTTCCTGAGCCTGATTGCTATGTTGGAGGGTGACAAACAAAAGAAAATGACTGTTGAAACAACTATATCCATTACATACCAGCATAAGCCTATCCATACTCAAAAATAAATCCACCATACTTCACATAAAGATCAAACCTGATAAGCATATTCTTTATTCTCTCCCACTAAACTGTATCATTCAGTTTCTCAAACATAAAGTTAAACAAGGCAATCACATTCTCTATGCAAACTATTCCATTCAAAACCAAGAGCATAGTAAACAGCATCAAGAAGATGATAGATAGCATGTTTGATATAGTACAGAAGCAGAAAGATAATAAGGATTTAATCACCTCCACGGCCTCCTTCTCCGACTTGGCACCAGGAGCGGCAGCCCAGGCTGTGGCGAGCGGGGCAGTAGTCGCGTAGTAATCGTCGTCATCCTCGTCTTCGACGTCAGCCCAAGATTTCGTCGTGAGCGGCGCCGGCGACCAGAACACCTTCTCCGCCGCCTCCTTCTCCTCTTTGTTCGATTTCGATTTAGACCGGTCCTTGCCGGAAGTCGCAGCGGAGGAGGAGCTGGAACTCTTCTTCTTCTTCCTCAAGGTATCGAGCGCAGCGAACACATTGTTACTGTTCAGCACCACCTGCTCATTCTTCCTCCCGCTTGCTCCTCCCCCGACCATTTCCTCCTATCTCAAAATCCACAAAAACACACACACGATGACAAAACACGCCCTCCCTCCGGCTCCCTTTGAATCGAACGTTTACGAGAGCTCGGATGGCGTTCGTCAATATTATGAGATGAAATTAGGGTTCCAGGGACCTGTCGGTTCAATTCGTTTCCCCCGATTGAGAAAGCAATACGAAGGGGGAAGTGGAAAAAACGAAAGACGAAGAAACAACAACGAGCTCGCCGGTGAGAGGTTATTTCTCCGAGCGATCGCCCGCCGCCTGGAAGGGCAGAAGTCCGCGGTAAGAAATGCAAACTGGAAAAAATTATAGCCTCTTCAATGGCGGTCCGAGAACGAGACTATACTCTTCTGTCTTCCGCTCGCTCTCGCTTTCTCTCTCTCTCTCGTCTGTTACCTTGGCTTCGTCTCTCTCTCTCACTCTCTCGCTCTACAGGTGGAATGGAAGCAAATTTTGTTTTAATTAATTTCGATAATTCATTTGGCCGGTGGCTGGCGTGGCAGGATACGTAGCGAACGGCAATCTGCAAGGGTATTTTGGGGACGTTAGGTTCAGGTAATCTGTCGATTAGGCTGGTGTCTGTTTAGAGGAGAAAGGGAGGGCCGTCAGATGAGAAACGGAGGGGTGTGATTGCGTCCCGCCGTGGGAGGTATAGTTGGGTAATAAGTAGTGGGCCCGACCAGGTCTACTCGGCTGGGATGCATGGGCTTTTGCCCCACCCGTTTTCACCCAAATTGCAAAACTCATTGCGTGTATGTTTTAATGAATCGATTTTTGCCGTCCTAGTATTTACTATTTGCTGTCCATAGTTTTCAAACATAAAAACGATTTTGCCTTTATTCCAATTAAACTACAAACCTATCTCACTTGTTCTCTCACAACCCAACCCCTCCTCTCACAATCGTTGCCGACCAACCACCTCCCTCTTCTGTCCTCCCGCAACCGACGCCGATCAACCTCCTCATGCAACCGCCGACCTGGTTCCGTCTCCTCTTCCCTCACTCCCCCCCTCACAAATAGCCGACGCGGAAGAGAAAGGAGCTCGTCGTGCGGACGGGGAGGACAGCGCCCGTTGCTGCTGTGCGGACGGGGTCCGATGCATCCGTTCGGACGGGGTCTGATGCATCCATTCGGACAGGGTCTGACTCCGACGGTCGGACGGTAGCGCCGGCAACTTTTTTCTTTCAAAATTATTAATAAATTAATTAAATATTATGTTAATTATGATTTGTGATGATTGATATTTATGTACGCAATGATTTTGAAAGTTCTAATCGAATCATGGTAATTTTTTCTAATTATAGGGGTGGAAACACGGAAACTAATAAAAAAACATATATTATTGAAGTAACTGACGTACTATCACTGACTGATTATATTTACATAATTAATAACCGAAAATATTTTCCTCAATTACAATACACATGACCTTTTTCCACAAATTTACTTATTACTCAC